AGAGAGAGAGGGAGACAGAGAATCCAAAGCAGGCTCCAGGCTCTTCTGGACTATCAGCACAGAGCCTGACGTGGGGCTCAAACTCATGGCTGTTGAGATCGTGACCTGAGCCGAAGTTGGATGCTTCGCTTAGCCGACTGAGCCACCCAGGCACCCCTAAGTAATTTTGTTTTAAAATGAATGTCTTCTGGGGAATCTAGGTAACTATACCCACAGATATCTCTATTACTTATCCTGTTCCAAGATGAAATGTTATGTTTTTCTAGCTCACTTTAAGCTTTCCATCTATAATACAATGTATCTATGTATAATATACCTAGCTGTATGATCTTCTAAAGTTTCTTAAAGTTACATACTATCGTCTGTATGTAATAAGTAAAAGTAAGAAGATCTGATTATTTTGAGTTGTACTGTTGTCTTTATCTTAGCCTTTTTTTAAAAAAAGGAATATCATTATATATAGTAGTAATTATTTCCTTTTTCTGTCTTCCTTTGGCATGAAGGAAAGGAAGGAACATAATCTCTGTGTTAAGTAGTATATATAAGTGTATGTATACATATATTCATATATATATGTATATATAATATATACAAGTTAGACATGTAAAAGCAACAACAAATCAATGTTTGATTATCCTAAAAAAAAATCCTAAGAAATGACAGATAAGAGAGAAATAAATTATTGTACTTCTAGTATTTACTCTTTCTTAAGCCAGAGTTAAGCAGTTAACAAGCTAATACACTAATTATGTTAATAAAAGTGATAATTAATTGGGCACTGTCTTCTTCATCATTACTGCTGGCCAACTCCTGCCCTCAGCTGTTACATGACTGGCCTGCCTCAACCCGGGAATGGGTTAATTGCAGTGAAGTGAATTAGATACCAGTGTAGGTTACAATGAAACCCCAGGTCCCATGTTATGTTCCGCAGAAGTTAATGAGGTAATAGTATTATTATGCCATCCAGGTAGAAGTTTCTTTTCTTTTTTTAAAAAATTTTTTTTTTCAACGTTTATTTATTTTTGGGACAGAGAGAGACAGAGCATGAACGGGGGAGGGGCAGAGAGAGAGGGAGACACAGAATCGGAAACAGGCTCCAGGCTCTGAGCCATCAGCCCAGAGCCTGACGCGGGGCTCGAACTCCCGGACCGCGAGATCGTGACCTGGCTGAAGTCAGACGCTTAACCGACTGCGCCACCCAGGCGCCCCTAGAAGTTTCTTTTCTACATAATGTGCATGTTGCAATAAACTTTTAAATGCTAAGTGACAAAATCACACTCAAATGCTTTTTGTCTTTGGTCTTAGCTAAGGCATGCATTTTTTTTAAAGCATGCACTTAAAAAAATTATTAAAAAGTACTTTTACAATTATAGCTTTTATTATAAAAGACTTGATAATTTAAATTTACTAAGTTAAAAAGTTTAGTTCCTTGCTACTTCTAAAGAATGTTTCCATTTTTCAGTTTTGAGTGTCAGTTTTTATAAGTGTATTACTTAGCCATATGATTGCGTTTCTTTTGAAAATACTGCTTTGTGGCTTTTGAAAATAAACCTTTTTTTAAAGCTTTTTCCTGTTTGGTGCATGTTTGATCATTTTATACAATTTGTTTAAATTATTTTGTATATGGCATGGTTTGCATTTTACATCTTTAAAATCTTTAATGTGTTCTATCTCTATTTATCGTAAATTTCACCTTACCCTTTAGAGCTTTTGATTTTGTTAAAAGTCTAAACCATTATTCATAATGTTCATAAATAGAGTAACTGAGACTTGCAGGCTCTAAATTGTTGCTTAAACACAGTAGTTTCATCCCTGTTCTTTTCATAAATCTTTTATTAGACCAAAGTGTGATTTGTGTTGCCAACTCTACTTCCTGTACTTCCTTGGGGAAGATGCTGGGGTGGGGCCTGGAACAAGTAGTAGGTGCTCAAAAGATCAAAACTAGCTAATTGGACATTTAGACTATTGAGTTATTTGTAATTGAAGGAATAACGTGTGCATTAAACTATCTCAGAGTGTAGTTGCTTTAGTACTTTTCTTGTTAAGTACATTATAAATGATTTTAAATTATTCCTTTCATTTGTGATCTTATACTGATGATTATGTCCATAGTAACAGACTAAACTAAGTTACCACATTTAGAATTATCATTGCCTTGAAATCATAATAGAAAACAAGACGCTTTTTTTGTTTTTCAGATTTTTTTTTCAGTTTGGATTTATACTTTGTAAAATATGGTTAAATTTAATGAATGGAATGTTTAACTATGAAAATGACAAATTATGGTTTCTACCGAATAATGTAATAAAACTCATTTTGTACGCCAAGGGGTCTAGTTTTGTTTTCCAGTATCACCATTATAAATGTGTTTTATAATTTTATAATAGAGGCTAAAACATAGAAACAGTAATATTCTACTTACAGTTCTACCAAAGCATTTTGATTTTCAATTTAAGATATACCTCTAAGTAGAGTAACTTGTTTAAAAAAGAAACAAGGCATACCTTATCCTAAAAAGTATTTTATAAATACTTATTAATATTAGACTGAAGGTTTTTTATAAAAGAGTTACTTTCAAAGGAAAATATAGTTAAAGGGAGATATCTCAGACTCACTCTACCTGATTGTTTTATTGCAATATTTTACCAATT